CCTGTAAGGATATATGCAATAAGTGTTGGTGAAATATGGAATAATTGGAATAGACCAGTCAAAAGCTAATCTGAACTTCTGGATTTGGCAGAGTTGATTCAATATTAATGGATTTTAATGGAACTGAAATCACGCTACATGTCCATAATCAAAGGGTGCAGCTCTAATATAAACAGTGCTTGTGTGACTCAAGAGTAAAAAGGTTTTTTTAAATGGTGGTAGGAACAACCTGATCTTCAACTTCCAAGCAATGATGTCATCATTTGTAATTACAGTCTTCTGATGCATAAGGAAAAGACTAATACAGGCATGTTGTATGAAGCACTAGTGTGACCATAGCTGTAAATACTGAGTCTGCTGCTTCTGTAAATACTTCAAAAAGTAGCAAATAGAATTTTAAGAGGTATAAAGATTTGAGATGTGGAAACCTGTCTAATCCTGTGAAAAAATTTAAGGATAGCCATCTTTTCTCATATGTCCATGACATAGTTAATGGTAAATGTGATCATGATGGTGTTATAACACCTCCTGTCCTTTAAAACCTTGTATGCTAAGCAAATCAATCAACCAAAAAAAAAAAAAAAGCAGATTAGTAAGATTTGCCAGGATATAAATCAGCATAGCTATTTTTATAGCCCACACTAGATAAATCCAGTTAATCCAAAACCTGACTTTATCTAACCTTTAAGAAATTTATTTTGGTTATTCTGGACATAGAAGACATAACATAGTATATTTTCTTTATCCTATCTTACTCTCTTTTCTTTGCCCTAAAACAAAGGAAATGGAGGATGGAAAGTCCTCAGTAAACAGTTTTGAAAATCAGAATAAATTCCAGTTACATAATCCTTGTGACAGTTTCTCATGTATGATGGAGGCAGGAAGGAATATTGTTAGAGCATGCTGCAGTTCACTGATTTTTAACTGCCACATAATCCCAAGAGCCCGATGTTATCTAATATGTACAGAAACTTCTCTTAGCTTATTGCAACCTGAGCCAGGATCTAGAATAAAATGACAGTCATAAATACTTACCTGTTGGCCCCATCTATAGCACCTATCAGAAACTCAGCACAGGAGCTAATCTTTTCTAGGTGAATTTGGTAGGTTCTCAAGTTTCCAAGTTCTTTTTGCCATGAAACCTTCCACTGAAACTTACATTATTACCATTATGGTTCCCTAAAGGAAAAAAATAATAAATGTTTGCTTTACTTTTGTTACCAAAGAAAGAGAAAAGAAAATGAAAACATAATTATTATATCACTTAATTGCAAAAGAAAATATATTCAAGTCTGTTCTTAATGAAACTATGAGTACTGTATACATAAACAGAGAAGTAGCCCAAATTGGTTGCAGGAACTAATTTGATGGTGATATTCTCTCTCTGACGGAGCAGACCCAGGTAGTAAATCATTATTGGTTGCCTAATGGAAAGATCCTACTGTGAAAATAAACAGCTGTCCACAATAAAGAAATTGTTTACAAGAAACCATTACATGTCAGACACTTCATTCCCTTGAGAAAGGAGTGAAAGCATGAAATATTGAGCAGTTGTGGTTTTTTTTCTGGGATGTTTATTTCAAAGAAAATTATGTGGATTTTTTTTTTGTTTGCGAAGCTTTATTTTTAGATTCTAAAAGCATGATTTTTTTTGGTGTTACCACTTTATTTTGCTTGGAAGGAAAGACTGTAACTCCTCTTTTTTGCCATTGCTGCCTATTATATATGTACCTGAATTGGTTATCGTTGTATGCACACACTGTAGCTGGAGAAGTTTTTCTCAGCCCTATCTAGTGGGGTGTATAACAGCCCTGCCTCCCCTCCTGAATGTCTTCCAAGAAATTTTCATTCCAAGAATATCATTCCCAGTCAGTTTGATGCTTCTCAGATGGGCCTGTATCTAGGGGCAAAATCTAGTCTTCAGTGATCTGTCATTGAACATGATCAACAAGAAGTCTTTCCGATGGAAAGACCAAAATCTTGCTCATATAACTCAACTCCTCTGTTAACCTCTTCTGCATATTTAAAGTGTGAGTAAACTAAGCTGAGGTGACTATCGACACGGCCTTGAAACAGAATGAAATGATGGGCAGAAAACTGTGTTCGTTACCATCAGAACCAATCCGTATTTCTAACTATCTGTCCTCTGAAGGATGCATCTTTGAGATACTTCCACATCTGCAAGACTTCATGATTTCACTTGCAAGGCTTTCAAGTGCTAAACGCCCCACAGCAAAAGGACAGTGACAGGAACTCAGGGACTGCTGAAGTACTGGGGAGTTTATGTTCTTTATAGGTTTAGTTGTTTGTTAGAGACAATCAATCTGTTTGTTTCTCACACCAGCAAGTGAATAAGTGCATTAAGTACACCTAACTAGACTCATTTGGAACATTTCTCACTCTACAAATTATTTCTTAGCGTCCTTGGTGGTGCCTGTATTACCACATGTCACAGCAGCAGTATAGTCCCTTGTTTGGTATCTCCACAAACACAGTGCAGTGCTCTTTCAAAGCAAGTCTCCAATTCCTCAGTCAAGGAGGTTCATTGATAATTATCTATTATGAGTGTGTCCACAGAATGAAAGAAGATGATATTTCATATTCTGGAGAAAAAAAGGATGAGACTTTCAGCTCAATTAAGATGCTCCTAACACTCGTATTTAGCTTTCATTCTCACTATGAGAGTTCCAAAGAGTATGGCAAGGCGTTGGTGGGATGTCTTCTTCGATGATCTAGGCTTTCAAATCACAGGATACTCATTCACATGCTGCATGTGAACAGTTTTTCAGTTAGACACCAGCTCAGATGGGAAAGCATAGGAGGGATTTAAGGCTTTCTGGAATGCCACCCAAGTTCTTCTGTGTCAGGGATGTTATTATGACGATTCAGCTTAAGTTCCTTTCTAAGGCTGTGTAAAACTTTGATTCATTGTGTTAACACACACGTATTACTTTCTGAATGAAATTAATTCAGATCCAAGATTTCTGTGCATGCTTTCGATGACTCAGGAGGACCACTTCTACGTGTTAAGATCGCATACCTAAAGGACTGGCAGGTTTGATGATATACTTTTCAACAAAGTCGGAATTGTCTGTTTCTGTGACAGGGAGGGTTCACTCTGTCAGACATTAAGTAACATCTGAGGATGTCTCCATTTTGGATGTCTGCAAAACTGCCACCTGAGTTTTCATTTACACTTTCATTAAGCTAACTGTGTTGCTGAAAGATTCCAGGCTGATACTTGCTTTAGAAGAACAGTTTGTTGGTCTGTATTTGGCTAGAATCTTTAAGACCTCATCCAGTTATGTATCGTTTCTGCAGTGAATGTTTCTTAGAATCATCCATGCTATGAAATTATCTGTAACTTGGTAAGGCCATAAAGTTTACATTCTTGCAGCTATTCCTCTGTATCCTATGTTAGCTATTTTAATGTAACTGGGTATTTCATTCCCTTTGATATCTCTGTTACACTTCCAAGAATTCTTTCAGGACTGAGAGGGAGAAGCTTCTGGCATCGCTTTCATGGAGGCATTTGCAACTTGTGCAGATGGAGGAGCTTATGTGTGTTCCTGCAGAAGTTGGTTAGGCAACAGTTCTCCAGCTTACAGCACTGGAGCCGCTTTTGTTTATTTGGAGTTTGGGTTTTTCTGGAGTGGATTTGCCCACAGAGTGAAAGCACGTGTTGGAGATCTACCTCAATTACAAATAAATAGGCTTTCTTCTGTGAACTCTGCAGGCTGTCAGTTGAGGCCCACAGACATGAGATTTGAATGTGATCATTGTCTTAATGCAGAACTGCAGGTGTTATAGCACATTTAGGAACATGGAGCACATGTCTTTGTGACCCACAAAGAAAAGTACTCTCTAAATTCACAGGCACTGTGAAGACCACCATAACCATGCACAGGCAATGACATTTTCCCCAGAATCTGAACTAAAGCATTTCTTTAATAATACAGTTCTAAAGACATGAAGTAATGTGGAGCTTTTGGCTTCCTGCTAAGTCATTCTGGTGCTTTATTACCGTCACAGCTGGGAAGCTGTGCCTTATTTCATAGTCCTCTCTATCCTCTGACCTGATTTTCGCTAACTTTACTTTACATTGTTCAAACAGCGTTAAGAACATTTAGAGAAGGTAAGAATGGTATTTTTAAGTCCTTTTGATGGTCCTTCACAGTGCCATAAAGTGGTAACAGCATCACAAAATATGTCCGAACAGCAGTTTCCCATGTACCTGCAGGTATGTAGACATTTTTAAGCCAGCTGTAGGTTATCCGGCTGAGGTACTGCTAGAAAGGTAGCTGCTGCAGTGCAGAGCTCTATGGAGGATGAAAATTTCATTAGAGGAGCCATGTCTGGTTTTGTGCAATTAATCCTTGCCGATCTGTTACATCGCTCAGTGTCCAGGAAAGTTGTCACTGGTGGATATTAGCATGCTCTGAGTTGACTACGTGTTTATACAACTTGTTGAACTCGGTTTTATGTGTTAGGGTTTTCCAAGATGAGATATGAGTTGCATTAGAAAGCTGCCTTTTAAGGCACCCCTGTTATAGTGATAGCACTTGGATACACAATCGGTGATTCAGGGTAACAAAAGTAAAATATTTGTGTTTGCTTTGTGCCTTATTTTATTTAGGTATTAAGAGAGTGCTATATCCTGCCTTGACTTAGAATGAATGTATGAGCTGACAAAATAAGTGTAGGTATGCAATATATTCCTTGCCAAATACATTTAAATTATAATAGGTTTTGTAAGTTGAAAGAGTATT